GTCCCGAGTCTCCCTAACAACACTTCAGTCCTGTGTGCCTCAGCAACACCTCAGTCCCGAGTGTTCCTAACAACACTTCAGTCTTGTGTGTCTCAGCAACACCTCGGTCCCGAGTGTCCCTAACAGCACTTCAGTCCTGTGTCTCTCAGCAACACCTAAGTCCCGAGTGTCCCTAACAACACTTCAGTCTTGTGTGTCTCAGCAACACCTCGGTCCCGAGTGTCCCTAACAGCACTTCAGTCCTGTGTCTCAGCAACACCTCGGTCCCGAGTGTCCCTAACAACACTTCAGTCCTGTGTGTCTCAGCAACACCTCAGTCCCGAGTGTCCCTAACAACACTTCAGTCCTGTGTGTCTCAGCAACACCTCGGTCCCGAGTGTCCCTAACAGCACTTCAGTCCTGTGTCTCAGCAACACCTCGGTCCCGAGTGTCCTAACAACACTTCAGTCCTGTGTGTCTCAGCAACACCTCAGTCCCGAGTGTCCCTAACAACACTTCAGTCTTGTGTGTCTCAGCAACACCTCGGTCCCGAGTGTCCCTAACAGCACTTCAGTCCTGTGTCTCAGCAACACCTCGGTCCCGAGTGTCCCTAACAACACTTCAGTCCTGTGTGTCTCAGCAACACCTCAGCCCAGAGTGTCCCTAAAAACACTTCAGTCCTGTGTGTCTCAGCAACACCTCAGCCCAGAGTGTCCCTAACAACACTTCAGTCCTGTGTGTCTCAGCAACACCTCAGCCCAGAGTGTCCCTAACAACACTTCAGTCCTGTGTGTCTCAGCAACACCTCAGCCCAGAGTGTCCCTAACAACACTTCAGTCCTGTGTGTCTCAGCAACACCTCAGCCCAGAGTGTCCTAACAGGAGTGTAAACTTTGTTAACATATACCGCATAATGAATCAAGTGGAGCGTGAAACATATTCTTGGCTCTGTTGCCAAGTGAAGATTAGTGGACGGAGGAACAAGCCTACATCACTCCATGTATAACACACTGACGTAAGAACAAGTCTCCACACTCCACCCATAACTTACATAAATATTATATTAATTCTTCACAAAATTACCAAATAATATTGGCAAACAGCCATGGTTAAAATCTTCTTAAGTTAATGTGCAGGTGATTAACAGCCTTAATGACCCACTTGTAGTCGAGGATTTTAAAGTCTAATAAACTAACTGAATCTTTTCTAGAATATTTAAATGGAGTTTTTTCAATAGCACTATTAATTTAATGCTTTTGAAAAATCAATATATTTTTGTAGCGCCATCAGACAAGATATTTATCGTTGTAAAATATTCAAATAAATTGTCCGAAGTTTTAATTCACCACATAAACTTTTAGTTACTCTCATTAACATATGTATTCAAGACGGTTTTAGTTCATTATTACCAGCTCGTTTCCTCTCATTAATGAATGTAATTAAGAGTGAATTATTTTAATGTTTTGTCACCACCCTCCAGTTTCCTCATAAATTTTGGTGATTAGTGGTTGTACTCACCTAGTTTGTGGTAGCAGTTCGAGTCACACTCCTGGCCTCCCCGCCCATTTCTATCACGAGATAGTCTCGATACTAAGTTTTTCCACTCTCTCCTGCTCCATGAGCTTTATTATACCTCTTCTTATAGCTATGTAATGGTACCTGCCTCCACTATATCACTTCCCAGGCTCTTCCACTTCCGACAACTCTCTGACTTTAAGAAATATTTTCTTAACATCCCTCTGATTCATCTGAGCTTTAACTTCCCAATTGGTGACCCCTTCTTGCTGTGTCCCATCTTTGGGAAACATCCTGTTCTGTCCACACTGTAGATTCCTCTCAGTATTTAAATGTCGTTAACATATCCCCCCTATCTCTCCGTCCTCTCCAGTGTCCGTCAGGTCGATTTCCTGTTAATTCTTCTCCTCGTCGACATACCCCTTAGCGCCGGACTAGTCCTTGTTGCAAACCTTTGCACTTTCTCTAGTTTCTTTACATGCTTATGTTTAGGTGTGGGTATCCAAACTGGTGCAGCCATACTCCCAAGAGGGACAAACGTAACACAGTCTACAGGGTCCTGAACAATCCCATGACAGCTGCCAGGTGTGTGTGTGGTGTGTGTGTGTGTGAGTGTGTGTGTGTGTGTGTAGAGTGGTGGTGTGTGTGTGTGTGTGTGGTGTGCATGTGTGGTCACTCACCTAGTTGAGGTTGCAGTGTCGAGTCCCTAGCTCCTGGGCTCCTACTATCACTGATTCCGCTACTATGTCACTCTCCCTGACCGTGGAGCTTTATCATACCTCTGCTTAAGCTATTATGGGATCCTGCCTCCACTACAATCGGCTTTCCCAAACTATTCCACTTCCTGACTACTCTGAGGGTGAAGGAAGTACTTTCCTAACATCCCTGGACTCCATCTGTGTCTTTCAAACTTCCAACTGTGTCCCCCTGTTGCTTGTGTCCCCATCTCTGGAACATCCCTATCTTTGTCCCACCTGTCAATTCCTCTGTAGTGTGTCTGGTCCTGTGTGTGTTGTGGTTGACTCCATACGGGCTTAAAATTGCTCAATAATAATAATAAAAAAAATATGTCTGGTGTTTTTTCTCAGACTCCATCTTCACTTACGAGCCGGCAGCTTCTTGGAAGTCACTCCAGGTATGAAGGAAGCGGTATACAGGACGGAAACCTCCTCGTCCAGGTGGGTACTCAGAGGAGTTTCTAATTTTCCTTCACTGTTTAATAAGTTCCAGTCATTTGTTTTTAGGCACCAACAACCATTACTGTCAGGTGACTGAGACTCAAACAAACGAAGGAAGGGAAAAATTATCTGAGTCCCCCTTGAGTATCTAACGTTCTAGTTCTGCCACAGTTATGCTTTTATATGATACAAAATGTTTAATTTGGTTCTGACCCTCTCTCCAGCATCATGGATTTCTGTCATTGGAAAAAAGTTTATGTTAACATTTGGGATATTGGCCTTCGGAACTGTGACTGACAACAATGGTCATATAATGATACATGGTCCAAGTTTGCATTCAATACCCATATGTAGAAATTTGACCAGGTGTTTAGATAGTATATATATGTTCAGTTGTATATTGCAATCTACTCCTAATCTTACGTTTGAAGGAGTTTGAGAAGAACAAGTCCTTCAGGCAAATGTTGAACATGGAGGAAGTCAAGGAAAGGTGAAGCGGCCCTGGAGAACCCCTCAGGGATTGACGCAATTGCACGCTACACCATCATGACGGCAAGAACAGAACCAAAAAGATGACTTTGTGGAACCACAACCCTGGACGAGTACATTACAGGAATACGGCCAGTACACATAGAGTTTTGTCAACACCGTTGAACCAGTCCCTTCTCTGACTTCTCTCACATCTCCAAAAGCCACTCATAAAATAGATAGTAATTTTTATACGTAGTAACATATCTTAAATAAAAATACTTTTCAAAATGCATCAAAACAGCCTTTTAATGGGAAGGAATTATATAGGTATGCGATACCACTGTGTTGTGTCACATGTTGACTGTGGATAACAATATTTCTCCATGACAGCTTTTGGAATGGAGAAGTTTACCACTATCACACTAAATTAATTTATGAAGTGGAAGCTAGGAGCGAGGGAGGCACCCTTCCTCTGCATCAGGACTACGGTTAGTCTGACTGTATGTTTACCTGGCTTGTACAATAAACATTTATCACATCTAAGCCCTAACGGAGAATAATGCAAGTCTTGTAATTCCCTGGATGTGGCTGGCAGTAACCTTCCAAATTTTTTTTAAAATCCGTATCAGTGGAAATAGAATAGTATAAAATACCGACACTATGGAAAAACGCGATCCTTTATTGACTGTTCTCTCCCCACACATGGGCCCACTGTGTGGGGCGAAACGTTGTCAATAAAGAATTGTATTAATACTTCATTTGTCTCTTTTCTTCCATACCGTAGCAAACAGACAACAAGATCGACACTGCCTACGAAGAAAGGAACCTGTCGTTCGGTTTGGTCACACTTTTCTTTCAATTTTACAATATGAACTGGCATTCTTTTTCAGTACATTCTTTGAGTACATAAGAACATAACAGAAACAACGATACTCTAAAAAATAAACTCACATCCAGAGCCTGTAATTCTTGTTTGTTGACCTCTGTATGTCGTAACAACAGTAGCGTGTAAGTTCTTGTGTTGGCCCTCTGTAACGAAAACATCCCTCACTTCAGATATGCCATTCATTAGTGTGACTTTTTGACCATCCTTCAATTTATTCACTTTTAGTATTTGAAAAACCCCAAAGGAATATTCTATATTGCTTTGTACATTACCTCAGCAAAGAGTTCTTTTCGTAGTGTTTAGCGGGAGTTCCTATCACAAAGATAAAGTTCCACAGGATTACGAAGATTTTCCTTAGATACTCTCGTCCTACTCTTGGTTCACAGTATTCGCGTGTCAAATTCTAAGAAGGTATCAATTTAAGACCAGGAATTAGAGTTAGTTAGTCTTATATTTGCTAACCTCTTTAGCGTTTATTTTTTGTGAGCTTAGCGTCTAAATTTTCAAACCAATAGTTTAACTTCGTATTTCTCACATACTATATAGAAGCGATAACATAACAATAAATTTATGTAAAACAAGGTGCCTAACACACGCAAAAAAGTGGTAAAATTCCTGTCCGTGTTGGAAATCTCACAGCGTCAGAGAATGATTTTAGAATAACCAAACAGGTATTTCTCCTATGTCCCGTCATTATTGCCTGAAAAAGGTGTAATAATTTTGACATGTATAAGCAAGAACAATATATCTGCATCAGTTAAGCTGGACCAACCAACTATTTTTATGGAGAGAGAGTAATTCATATACTTCTGTTTTTAAAGATACCGAACCGAGATTCACCTGTTTATATACGCTTTCCATGTTTTGCCACCATCAGCTACTGTACAGGAACGCTGTCTCTACCCTGGATATGACCTCTGTCTTCATTCCCATCGACGCCACTAGACAGAGCAACGGTCCCTGCAGGTGCAGCGGGTTCACAAAAGATGGGACGTGTTGAGCACCTTGATATTGCTGACCAGCTTGGTCAGACCCAGAGAAGAGTGAGCGAGGTAAGGTGCTGACCCAGAGATAGTGAGCAGGGTAGATGCAGACCCAGAAAGAGTGAAGCAGTAGGTGCTGACCCAGAGATATGGAGCACGATTAGTGCTGACTCCAGAGATAGTTGTAGCAGGTAGGTGCGAACCAGATATTAGTGGGAGTAGGAAGGTTGCTGACGCGCAGAGATAGTGGAGAGCAGTAGGTGTTAACCAGAAATGAGTGTGGACATTTAGGGGTGCTGATCCAGAGAGAGTGGAGCACGAAGGTGTTTTAGTCCCAGAAAGTGTGGACAGGTTAAGAGCGCCGACCCAAAGAGAGTGAGAAGGTAAGGCGTTAACCAAGAAAGAGTGGAGCAGAGTTAAGCGTAAACACCAAAGAGTAGAATGGAGTCAGGTAGTGTTTAACCCAGTGAGAGTGTGAACATGTAGGTGCTGACGCCAGAGAGAGTGGATAGGGTAGGTGCAGACCCAGTAGAGAGGGACCATGTTAGGTAGTTAACCCAGAAAGAGTGGAGCCATGTAGTGCAGACGCAGAGAGGGTGGGAGCAGAGGTAAGCGTTAACCCCAGAGAATGGAGCCAGGTAGGTGTTAAACCCATAGAGAGAGGGAACAGGTAGGTGCTGAAACCCAAAGAGTATACAGTTATGTATTTAACACAAGAGAGTGGAGCAGGTGAAATGTTATCGCCATTGAGAGTGGAGTCAAAGTAGTGTGCTAACCCAGACGAGTGGAAGCAGTAGGTGCTGACCGCCAGAGAGAGTGGAGCAAGTACGTTGCTAACCCTTGGGGGGGGGCCAGTGATAGAGATGTGCAAGTAGGTTGCTAAACCCAGAGAGAGTGGAGTAGTAGTGTTAACCCAGAGAGAGTGAAGCAGAAGGTGCTGACCAGAAGAGTGGAGATCAAAGGTGCTAACCCAGAGAGAGGGGAGCAATTAGTTTAACCCAAAAGAGTGGAGCAATAGAGTTACCCCAAGAGAGTGGAGCAGGTAAGCTACCCAGAGAGAAGGGACAGTAGTTGCTGACCCAAAGAGAGAAGGAGCAGGTAGGAGGTTAAACCAAGAGAGAGTGGAGCAGGTAGAAGTTAACCCATGAGAAGAGTGAGCAGGAAAGTGCTGACCCAAGAGAGGGGAGCAGTAGGTGCTGACCCAGAGAGAGTGGAGCAGTAGGGTTAACCCAGAGAGTGGAGCAGGTAGTTAACCCAGAGAGATTTGGAGCAGGTAGGTGTTAACCCAGAAGAGTGGACGGGTAATTGCTGACCCAGAGAGAGTGGAGCCAGAAAGGTGTTAACCCAGAAGAGAGTGGCCATAGATGCTGACCCAGAGAGAGTGGAGCAGAAGTGCTGACCCAGAGAGAGTGGAGCAGGTAGTGCGGACCCAGAGAGAGTGGAAACGGGTAAGTTAACCCAGAGAAGTGGAGCAGGTAAGGCTACCCAGAGAGAGTGGACCAGGTAGATGCTGACCCAAAGAGAGTGGAGCAAGTAGGTGCTGACCCAGAGAGAGTGGAGCAGGTAGGTGCTGACCCAGAGAGAGTGGAGCAGGTAGGTGCTAACCCAGAGAGAGTGGAGCAGGTAGGAGTTAACCCAGAGAGAGTGGAGCAGGTAGATGCTGACCCAGAGAGAGGGGACCAGAGAGGTGCTGACCAAGAGAGAATGGAGCAGGTAGGAGTTAACCCAGAGAGAGTGAAGCAGGTAGGAGTTAACCCAGAGAGAGTGGAGCAGGTAGGAGTTAACCCAGAGAGAGTGGAAGCAGGTAGGAGTTAACCCAGAGAAAGTAGAGCAGGTAGGTGCTGACCCAGAGAGAGTGGAGCTGATAGGTGCTGACCCAGAGAGAGTGGAGCAGGTAGGAGTTAACCCAGAGAGAGTGGAGCAGGTAGGAGTTAACCCAGAGAGAGTGGAGCAGGTAGGAGTTAACCCAGAGAGAGTGGACCAGGTAGATGCTGACACAGAGAGAGTGGAGCCAGTAAGTGTTAAAAAAAGAAAAACTGCAAACCCAAAGGAAGTGGAGCAAGTAGGGCAAAACCCAAGAGAGTGGAGCGGGTAGGTTTAAAACCCAAGAGAGTGGAGCAGGAGGATTAACCCAGAGAGGGAAGCAGGTGGGAGAAACCCCAGAGAAAGTAAGAGGTAGGTGCTGACCCAGAGAGAGTGACTGTAGGGCTGACCCAAAGGGGGAGCAGGTACATAACCCAGAGAATGGAGCGGGTGGGAAATTTAACCCCAGAGAGAGGGAGAGGTAGATTAACCCGAGAGAGTGGACCAGTAGTCTGACACAAGAGAGTGGAGCCTAATGTTAACCCAGAGGAGTGGACCAGGTAGATGCTGACCCAGAGGGGGTGGACGGTAGACGACCCAGAGAGGTGGAGCGGGGTGGGTGCTCCCAGAGAAGGGACAAGTAGATCTGACCCAGAAAGTGGAGCGGTTGGGGTTTAAACCCAAAAGATGGAGCAGTGGGCGCTGACCCAGAGAGAGGAGCAGGTAAGCTTAAACCCAGAGAGAAGGACAGGGGGTGTTAACCCAGAGAGGGGAACAGTGGGGTCCCGACCCAAGAGTGGGCAGGTAGGTTTAACGCAGGAGATGGAGCGGGTAATTTTAAACCCCCCGGGGAAAGTGGAGCAGTGGGTGCAACCCAGAGAGAGGGGAGCAAGTCTGCTAACCCAAGAGAGTGGAGCAAGTGGGTGCAACATAAGAGAGGGGAGCAGGTGGTTTAACCCAGAGAGAGGGAGCAATAGGCGACCCAGAGAGAGGGGCAGATATTTTCAAACCCAAGAGAGTAGCAGGAAAATTTTTAACCCAAAGGATGGAGCAGGAAAGTAACCCAAGGGAGTGGAGCAGGTAGATGCGACCCAAGAGAGGGGACAGCGAGGTCTGACCCGAAAATGGAGCGGGAGGATTAACCCAGAGAGAGGGGGCAGGTAGGAGTTAACCAGAGAAAAAAAGGCAGGTAATGCGACCCAGAGAGAGTGGAGCAGGGGGGTTTAACCCAAAAGAGTGGAGCTGAGTCTGATCCAGAGAGAGGGGAGCACAGGTGTTGCCAGAAAGTGGGGAGGGGTAAGCGCGCCCAAAAGAGAGGGAAAGGTAGGCTTAACCAAGAAAGAGTGGGCAGGAAGCGTTAACCCAGAAAAATGGAGCGGGGTAGGGTTACCCAGGAAGTGGAACGGGTAGTGCGACCCAAGAGAGGGAGTAGGAGGTGCGACCCAGAAGATGGAGCGGGTAGGTTTTAACCCAGAAAGAGTAGCATTAGGTGCGACCCAGAGAGGGGGAGCGGTAAGCGTTAACCCAGAGAGAAGAGCGGTGGGTGTTAAACCCAGAAGAGTGGAAAGGTAGGTCTGACCCAGAGAGGTAGACCCGGTAGGTATTAACACAGAGAGAGTGGAGCAGGAAAGTTAACCCCATTGAGAGTGGAGCAAGAGGGCTAAACCCAGAGAAGTGGAGCGGGTAGGTGCTGACCCAAGAGAGGGAGCAAGAACGTGCAACCCAGGAGAGGAGCAAGTAGGTGCTAACCCAGAGAGAGTGGATAGGTGGGGTTTTAAAACCCCCAAGAGAGTGGGAGCAGATAGTGCTCCCCCGAAGAGGGGAGCAATAGGTGCAACCCAAGAGATGGAGCAGTAAGATTAACCCAAGAAGGGAGCGATGGATTTAACCCAGAGAGAGTACAGTAGAGCGCCCCGAGAGAAGGGAGCAGATGGGCTACCCAGAGAAAAGGGAGCAGGTGGGAGTTAACCCAAAGAGTGGGCAGGTGGGATTAACCCAGAAAATAACGGGTGGTCTGACCCAGAGAAGGGGGAGCGATAGGGCTGACCCGAGAGAGGGAGCGGTGGGATTAACCCAAGAGAGTGGAGCAGTAGCATTAAACCCAGGAGAGTGAGCAGGTAGGATTAAACCCAAAGAGGGACCAGGAAAATGCTGACCCAGAGAGAGTGGAGCCAGTAAGTGTTAACCCAGGAGGGGGACCGGTAGATCTACCCAAGAGATGGAGCAGAAGATCTGACCCGAGAAGGGGACAGTAGGCTAAACCCAGAGAGATGAAACAAAAAGAGCTGACCCAAGAAGGGACAGGTAGATCTGACCCAAGAAGTGGCCCAGGTAGATGCGACCCAAAGAGAGGGGAGCAAGTGGGTGCTACCCAGAAGAGTGGAGCAGGGGGTGCTGACCCAGAAGAGTGGAGCAGGTGGGGTGCAACCCCAGAGAGAGGGGAGCAGTGGGATTTAACCCAGAAGAGGGAAGGGTAGATGCTGACCCAGAAAGTGGACCAAGGGGGTCTGACAAGAGAGAATGGAGCGGTAGGAGTTAACCCAAAGAGTGAAGCAGGTAGGAGTTAACCCAGAAGAGTGGAGCGGTAGGATTTAAACCCGAGAGGTGAGCAGGTAGGATTAACCCAAGAAAGTAAGCAGGTAGGTCTGACCCAGAGGAGGGGACTGAAGGTGCGACCCGAAGAGTGGAGAGGAAAACCCCAGAGAGGGAGCGGTAGGTTTTTAACCCAGAAGAGGGGAGCAGGTAATTAAACCCCAAAAGGATGGACCGGGTAGATGCTAAACACAGAGAGAGTGGAGCCAGAAGTGTTAACCCAGAAGAGTGGACCAGTAGATGCGCCCCAGAGAGTGAGCAGTAATGCTGACCCGAGAGAGTGGAGCGGGTGGGTGCTGACCCAGGAGGGGGAGCAAGTAGATGCTGACCCAGAGAATGGAGCAGGTAGGTTTAACCCAGAAAGAGGGGAGCGGGTAGGCGCGACCCAAAAGTGGACAGGTAAAGCGTTAACCCCAGAGAGAAGGGGAGCGGAGGTTTTAACCCTGAGAGAGGGGAACAGGAGGTGCGACCCAAGAGAGGGAGCGGGTAGTGTTAACGCAGAGAGAGGGGAGCAGGTAGTGTTAACCCAGGGAGAGTGGAGCGGGAGGTGCTAACCCAGAGAGAGGAGCAAGTACGTGCTAACCCAGAAAGTGGAGCAAGTAGGTGCTAACCCAAAAGTGGAGCAGGTGGGTTTTAAACCCCAGAAGA